GTATGGATTGAGAATTACCCCCTCCCCCCATAACAAGGGGTATGGATGCTATTCAATACAGGTTCAATACCCACAAACATTTTTTCAGAGGCCACCAAAATAATATTTTAGGAGACCACCACCCTCAGAATTTTGCATCCATAACCACTGTCAAATTGATCATATTTTATGGTGGGAAAATGTCCATGCAACTAACAACATTCATGGACAAACATGGAATATACCTCACATTGAGAGGCTGGACAGTCTAAAGATATCTTATGTTACATTATAAAAATATATATCTGCAATTCAGCCATTTCTTGCTGAGTAATAAACTTTCCTCCTCTTTTGAAGAGTCAAAGTGAAGGACCTGTCATTCTGTGCAGGGCATGATTGTAATGCAATGAGTAAAACAGCTGCTGTGGTGCTAATGGCTATTCATATTAGGCATGTTTAAATGTTTTATATAAAATATTTAGGAAACTGGTGACATATTAAGACTTCAGATTCCTTTAGATACCATATACCATATTTTTTACTTCTCTTATACCATATACGATAAATTTTGGCCCCTCTTATACAATATACAATAAATTTTCACGCTCTTATACGATATACGATATCTCTATACACCCCCCCCCCTTAACGTTCATAGCAGGGTTAGGAATCTTTTTATATTTATAACGTTGGATCTGGACGATACATGTACATTATTTTCGACGTCACGTTTTGAGGTTATTTCACATCGTAAGAACGTTTTGACAACGTTAACTTTTAACGTTAAAATAACGTCGGTAATGAACCGATTTACTGAGAACATATTGACGTCTTTGTAACGTTTCCTTAACTCACTAATATTTTGAAGCCATTTCCACAATGTTGAAATTCAACCATCCATCGACCTTTTGCTGAATATTTAAATAACGTCAGATCAATACGGTCCATGAACGTCATTATTGACGTCACGTTTTGAGGTTATTTCAAATCGAAAAAACGTTTTGACAACGTTAAATTTTAACGTTAACAATACGTCGGAAATGAACCGACTTAGTGATAACACAAAGTTTTTGTCATGTTTTTTTCCACCAACAAATATTTTGATATTAAAAGCCTGTTTTGACAACGTTGAATTTTAACGTTTGAGTTACGTCACATATGGACCAATGTAGTAAAAATCAAACGTTCCTGTTTGTTATGTTTTCCACACTAACAAACTTTACGGACACGTTACAACAACGTTCTTTTTGGCTCACACAGTGAGCCTATGGGATTGACCAGGCGTCCGTCCGTCCGTCCGTTGGTCTGTCGGTCCGTCCGTTGGTCCGTCCGTCCGTCTGTTGGTCCGTCCGTCAACAGTGGCCGCACAAATTAAAACTGCTATTCGGATTGAGTCATATCCACATTCATTTTATGCATATCCATAATGCCTATTTGACCTATCATCGCCATTTCCCTAGTTTGACCGGTTTCCGAGAAATTGCGGATTTTGACGTCAAAAAGTCAACTTTTCTGTAAATACTAGTGTTGTCGCGATTAATCGATACATCGCGATATACATCGCCAAAGCTGGTTCTGGCGATGCATCGATGTCTGAAACAAAACATCGATGTTTTTAAAAAACTAAAAATCGCCCTTTCTTATCTTATTTTGACGCAAATTGCTTACCTTTTTTCATGTCTTATTTCATTTACAAATGTTTTCTGATATTCTTTCGCTTTAAAACTGTTTTAGCTAGTCGAAATGAACCATTAATCTAAAAAAATACTTTACTTTCATTTCACCGTTACTATGTTCGGATGTAATTTGTTCTGTTCGATATTTTAGTGCATAAGCGTTCGGTATTTCAGTGCACTTTTCTCGAACTTTTTCTCGATGTACATCGCGATATGCATCGATGTTTACTACTGAAAATTGCCGATGCATCGATGTACGATTATGGCACATCGCGACAACACTAGTAAATACTAGACACTTTGTTCAGTGCATGAAATAAGGATTTTTTTAACCTAGACATTTTGGCAGGCCTGCCAGATTTTAACAAGCCATATCATTTTTTCTCAGGCCAATTTTTGGCAGGCTGTTTCTTCCTTCTCTGGCCAAAAATTTCACTTACCATATTTCTCCACAACCACTCTAAATTGAGATTTAGTTTAGTACAATATTAACAAAGATAAAACTAATTGCATATTGCATGTGATGTATCATTCACTATACTGTACTTGATGACTTAACCAACAGCCTGAGTGTGTTGAGCCCCCCCCCCCCTAGATTCACCTTGCAAAAACATGAGGAACATGTACATATTGATCAAACTAAATTGTACTGATTTTGGTCGGTTTAGAATTGCTCAGAAATCAGAAGCTTCAAGGTATTCAAAAACACATATTATGTACACAGACTCCACTAAAATTCAAGGTATATATTATTGGTGTCACGGTCAAAAAAATTTCGGTACGGTTTGGATCGGTACAAATGGTCTCGGGATACGGTACTTTCGGGACGGGACGGGACAGACAGAACACTAAAAATGATACAATCGTCTGATGATGACAGTTTCACTTTCACTTTCAGTTTCACTTTTCAAAATCACATTCAGAAATACGTCAATTAAATCAAATATAAAGCATCTGCCGCGAATAGGAATGTGATCGGCATTTCACATAGTCTGCATGGTGTACTATCACCAATTCGTTTACCTTGTGATATCGGAGTCCCAAAATACTTCCAAACTGCCGACTTTTTCGACTTAGATGCCGGCTCGATTTTTCAATTTCTTTCCTACATCCGGCATACTGATAATGCACTCGATTTGCGAACGACAATTAAGAAATTAGTCATTCATAGCCAATCAAAATCACCGTAATTTCAACAAACAACAACAGCCAATCGAAAGTCACGTTATATCTTGTGCTTCGGTACCAAACAAAAATATTTTGAAATGTTTTTCAATCTTCAACAAAAGTCATGAAATAAGCCGAAAACGCAGGGAATTCGGAGGATTTCCGGACTGATATGTAAGTTCTATTCATGGGCAATCTAACGAATGCCACAAATGTCTAGCAGGCCAAAATGTCTGGGTGTTTTTATCAAAACAAGCCATCTATAATTTTGTCAGGCCAATGGCCGATGTCGGACGTTTATTTCGCGCACTGTTTGTTGAAGTAGAACTTTCAAATAACTTTTAGTAGTTGGTGTATATGCAACTTATGTCCTCTGAAGATTTCAAAGCTCTTGGAATTACGGTTTTTGGTGTTTACTCTATAAAATTTGAAAAAAAGTAGGCATCATTTTCAGGAAACTTTCTCATGTATAAAGTCAATGGCAGGTTTTGTGATTGACAAGATTCTTAAAGTTTGCCTTATACTTGATCATTTCCTGCAATAAATTACATCATTAATAGATTTAAGCATTCCCTACATATTTCTCAATATATGTCAGCATCAAATTTTTATCATTTTTGAAATATTTGACGTCAAAAAACAGTAAAAATAAGTTATTTTTCAACTTGCTTCAATTTGACCAAATTTTTTTTTGAAAATCATCTACAAGTTGCCAGGAGTTCAAATCTGACATTAGTTTTAGGATTTGACCTTTACTTGACCTTCAGTGACCTTCGAAAGGTCAAAAAAGTTGATTTTTCAAATTGATTTTTGGATGTAAATTTTGGTCAGCTTAATCACAAAATACCTTACTGAGCTCTGAATAAGTAAAATTTTCAAGGTCAAAGGTCATCAAACTAGGTCACATAACTATGCAATCTAAGTTTCTCAAAGTTCGAGACTACAAATCCAAATCAATATTTTTGTTTGAAAGTCAGGATATAAATTCCTCTGAAGGTTCCAAACTGTGTGAGCATAGGACCGTGGGTCCTTCATTATACCATCAATAGATGTCTCGTGTTTACGTTGCCTTGATGTGTAAAGAACGAAAATGTGCAACGTCTTCTAGGAACTTATATGCTACTTATGAGTAACGTGACATGGGCGTCACTGTTTGCTGGATCGATTATTTTAAAAAGTGCTCTGTCTCGTATAGGATAAAAATATCAAACAGCAGTGCACTCAGTAGGCTAAGTCTGTCAAGTCAATTCGCTACTATATATCGGGGGAAATGTGGAACTTTGAAAGTTGGTAACCCTGCTAGGAACGTTAGGTACCCGGTCAACCGGGTACCCGGTTACCCGGTTTTTTACACAAACCCGTTCAATACCCTGTGTGGGGATCGAACCCAGGACCTTCCACTCCGGTTCGAAGCTCTACCCCAGAGCCATAAGGGCTAGCTACTACTGCTGAGACTGAAGTAGCAACTTGTCATCGAGGATAATTACACTAGGCACAATGATATTAACCATTTACCTTTTTCCTTTGTGAGCTGAGAGTGCTTACAGGTCTACCAAAGGACGTCCTTAGTCTACACGAACCTCACATCTTAAAATAGATCTATATTTCTTTGAAAATATCTCCTGATTTTTTATAGGCACAGAACTATAGTCCTGAATACCAAAATGGTCATGTCCCATCAAAACTGAAAAAATGTCTAACCTCATTATATTTGTATCTACATGTAAAAGACTTGTTTTGGCTAAGTTCAAACCATAATTGAGGTTCATAATCATTCAAAAGTGGGGCATTTTTATTAAAACGGACATTTTACTGAACTTACAAAAATGTTGGTATTGCACATTTAGGGGAATTCCCATTATTTAGTCCACAAATCATTGCTGCAAAGACAGGATGTTTCAAACAAATTTAATGGTGGAAATTAGTTCAATTTACTTGCATGTAAAAATGAAAATATTCTTGGACTTGAATTACAGTTGCCTTATTTTGCGATTTGAATTACTGCATTAAAATAAGCCAAAAATTTTCCCAAAATTGCGCCATTATTTGTAACTATATGGAGAGACACGTTGCATACTTGGCAGTCTTTTGTTATATCACAGCAAACAAATAAATCAAACATGAACATTTTAGTTTTCATGTATGTTCATTTTTCTCTTTTGTTTCCATGTGTTTCAGTGAGACACAAGTTAGCTGGCACATGATAATCTCAAACACAACAACTGTAATAAGACAACTATATAAAGCCCAGTAGAGAGAAGTCATAGACTGACGTGTGATTGTGAAGGAGCAACAACCTTGTGAAGGAGCAAGAACCTACCATATACATTGTTCAATCGTCTCCAATGATTTGGAAGATCTTCCTGAAATGAGTGGATGGTTAAGCAACTTGAGATTGATCCTGAGCACCACAGCTGTGGTTGTTCCAGTGACAGTTACTGTACTGGATATATTTGGCTATGTAGCTAGGGTAGAAGGTGCCTCGATGCAAGTGAGTGATATATGTATAGTGATATAGATAGTGCTCCCGTGCAACACGCGGTACTAATTTTTTGACCTACCTGATGTTTGATAATTAAGGATTGCGAGTCTCATACTGCACCATTTTTCTTCAAACTTTCTGTCGGTACATTGCTTTATTGTAAAGAGTCCCTCGTTTTAGCAGCGTTTTGGTCCCCAGCTGTTAAAAGCCCTTCTCACAGCTGGGGACCAAAATGCCTCTGGAAGTAAGGACTGTGTATAACAGAATAATGTTCCAACAGAAAGGCATTTTTGTTATGCTTTGAATGGAACAAGTTTGAAGAAAAATGGTGCAGTATGAGACTCATAATCCTTGATTTCTGGTAGGTCAAAAATTCAAATTAACGGTCAAAGTTAGTACCGTGTGTGCAAGTAAAATATGACTTGTTTTTCTGAGCTACATGTGAATCAAGTAAAATCATCATGAAATGCCACCATCCCTATTGCAGATACTGAACATGTACTGAACATGTACATTGACTTACTACATCTACATGTATATTTTTCCAGCCAGCATTGAATCCGAAAGAGGAGAGAGGTGCAGATTATGTATTTTTGAACAAATGGAAGATCAGGAACTACCAGTTTCAGAGGGGAGAAGTAGTTGCATTGATGTGAGTAGATACATTCTATACATTCTTGCCCTCTACTATTAGCCTAGTAGGGTTCACCGGCCAGGATTTGCTAAGGGGGGTTCACTTTTTGAAAAATTCCAGGGGGGTTCACTTGTGACAATTTTGGTCCAAAAATTAAAAAGTGCTCAGAATGGTGAAAAACTGCATGATTTTGAAAGATTTTTTGGCCAGGGGGGTTCGCTCAAACCCATCGAACCCCCCTGGCTACAGGCCTGGTTCAGCACCATTTGAGCACTGACATTTGAAAACATATGATATTCTACCTTTAGTGCCCAATCTGATATTCATATATGATATTCATTCATTCTTTGAAGCCTACATTGCTTCTAAAGAAGAATGGTATAATAGTCTCTAATCAGTGCTGATATTGTAGATTGTGGTGCATAAATCATGATGAGCTACTAACAATATGACGTAGCTTTTAGCCATATTTAGTCAAATAGTATTTCGCTTTGAAAGAGCTCTGCTAGCAGCTGATGTTGAATGTCCAGGTCTCGAGCTATAAATAGACCTATTTTTATATAAAACTATTACCTTTTTGCTTTCATCTAGTCTAGCTACAAACCCTTGTGACCCCCCCCCCCCCCCCCCAATACCACTAGTCCACTACTCATCACAACAAGTGAAAACGATGTGTAGTCAAGTAGGGGGGAGGTCACAAGGGCTTTCAACACATACACATTAAGTAATATACTGCATATGTAGCTTGAAACTCTGATCACCATGAAATATTTAGACTTATGCTAGATGACATATGCTAGTTAATATTTCATATTCATATAGATGTCAGATACCAATATCAACAATGAAATTTGGCATATTTTATGACCAGTTGGTATAGAATAGATGTCACTTGAACTCATGTAGAATAGAAATGTTACTCTGAGGCATTTGGTATTACAAGCTGTAACAGTGACTTCTCCCTGCTCCCTCCCGCTATCTCCTCTCCCTCCCTCCCTTTCCAGAGTATACAAGCTGTGTTGTTTTATCTCACTGACTTCATCTTCATCTATTGATCTAGCTGTCCATTCGTCTAGCTGTCCATTCATCATTTCATCTGTCCATCTGTCTGTCCATCAGTCTTGAACCAGTTGACACACTTGGTTCAAATTCGCTAAATGTTGATGCGTTCAGGAACATACAACCTCTCCTCCTCTCTCTCATGGGTGTAAACTTTCATCATTTCTATAAGTTCAAAATAACGAGTGATTTGATGAATATGAGTTTGTGATTTGCTACTGCAGGGAGTTGCTGTTTTTCAAGTAAGTTGATACTTGGATAAATCCTTAAGCTATTGGAAGTCATAAGAAATAAGAAGAAAGTTCCAAAAAATCAATGTCATCAAATTATCTCCAGTTTCCATTCTCTGATTAACTTGTTCCAGCCTGATTAACACGCAAAAGAATTGCCAGAGTAAATGGCCTCCATTGCAAATACAGTAGTACCCAAGAATAATATGCCTTTATGTCTTCATATTGAACAATCTAGCCCCAATCTTTGGCTGCCACCATAAGTGATAAATTATACATGTCAAAGCTGTCAACATGATGAAAGAGTAGATAATGATGATGACAATTTTCTAAATTGAACCAATAATGTCACGTTCTGGCTGTTTCTTTTTGTTATTCATCAGATACGCAGAGCAAATTTCAAGATGTTTCTACTGTAATGCCAAGAAATAATTGCAATTACCAGTGCCACATATTTGATAATCGTTTTAATTCACTTGGACATGTTGAATGTATTGTCCATGGTCTAAGTACAGTGGCATCTAGCTGGATGAATCATGCCAATTTCCTATATATTCAATATATTTCATATTTTGACCTTTCAGATGATTTTTACTTCTGCATATGACATTGACCTTTTCATTTAACATAACGAGGACACCTTTAAAACTTTAAGGAAACCTCAATTCTCCAAAATCATTGACTTTTCTGGTGAGCCTAAGTTTTAGACCGTCCTTGTTCATGTTGTTATAGAGTGCAATAGATATGATATAGGAGCTGGCAATTAAGTAGCCCACATATTCCCCCAATATCCCGCAGGTGACCTTGGCATGACCTTCCACATGACCTTGACATGGAAATGTCACTCTGAACTTTCAATTGGCCTCATTATTTTAACTTAGATATTAAGAGTCATTTAGAAGATGACAAATACATTTATTCTAATCTATTTTTAGTGAACAAAATTTATTTTGAATTATATCATCATTTGTACATAATGTAGATTATATTCTACACACACTCTCTTTCTAAAATTGCAAAATTATTACAACTGTACAAAGTTAAAACATCAATCTAATATAAGTTCAGATTTCAGATTTGGGGATTTAAGCTCATCCTTCAATTTACTGCTTTATATACACAGTTTTATACTATATGTTCAAAATAATCTTTTTTATGTACAGTATCTATTGAAAGAAGTTAGCTGCTCATAGTTGCTTTAATTATTTTTGTATTTATTGAATACTTGCACACATGATTCAATAGGATTCTGAGGGAGGAAAATTACCATTCTTTTCCTTTTTGACACATGTTCACAATGAAAACTACATGTATATACATTTGTGAAGTTAATACAGGTGTTCAGTTGAGAGAGGTGATCTTTTTCTAATCTAAGCTAATCTTATCTAATCTAGTATGAAATCTAACATGGGGGCACCAGATTAAGATGTGTTGTAGTACCTGGATCTGTCATTGTGTTTATGGTCCTTAAGCTGCTTCTGATTTCGTTGAACTTCCAGACACCTGTCATTGTGATTTTAGTCCTATAGGCTCACATATGATTGATTTGGACTGCCATGGACCTGTTATTATGATTTTAGTCATTTAGTTATGTTTGGGATTGTTAAACTACAGTGACTTGTCATTCATACCTATAGTCATGAGATTGTGTTGGACTACCAGGGATCTGTCATTGTGATTATATTCCTAGTGTCATGCTTGAGATTGTGATAAAACTGTCAGGGATCTGTCATTGTGATTTTAATCCAATAGTCATGCTTGGGATTGTGATGAACTGCCAGGAACATGAGATTGTGACGTTGGTTGTGCATTTGATATCAAAGATGTTCGAGAAGTGCACAAAGGCGTAGAAGGTGGATGATAAATATTATCTAGAGGAATGTTAGACATGCTTTCTACTTTATAATTAGTCCCTTCTGGTTCTTTATAGTTCTTTCGCATGCGGTACCGTCGTAATATTACAGCTCCTAAACAGACAGAGAGAATTGTTGATATTGTGACTGTCAGCGCAGCAATAACGGCCATATTATTGTACTTTTGTATACCTCGATAAATATACATTTGCTGCTTAGTTTGTATATCTGCACAGTTTAGAATTTCTTTGTCACCTAAATTGTCAAATGAGATACAGAACTGGTACAGAGTGTTTGGTATTAAGTCAGTGACTGTATATGTCCTCATATAGGGCCTAAGGTGTATCACCTCTGGTGGGTGGTTGGATATTGAAGATTTCCAGAGAATCTTGTACTGTGTACTGGAGACTGTCTGGTCTGTACCATTCCATGTGATAGTGATGAAGTTACTTGAAACTCCTTGTGTGATAATTCTGATGTTAGTGCTATGCACGCCTAGCACCATTGAAGCAGTGTCGTGACTCACTGCATTAGTAGCCATACATGCGTATGTGCCAGCGTCCTTTGCCTTTACGTGCCCAATCTGTAGAGTCCCACTGTTGAATAGTTTTAAACGGCTGTGATTAGATGTTCCATTTAAAATCTTCCTTGTGTTAAGAATCCAATGTATATTGGGTGTGGGGACACCTATAGCCCTGCAAGAGAAGCTCACTGTGGAAGTAACAGGTATTTGCTCCTTATCCCTGAAGAATGGAATCACAGTTGGGGCGCAGACCCTCGGGATTTTATCCAAGGGTACCGATGTTAGAATATGTTTGGCAAATTGATATGGGGTCTCACAAACTATTTTATCCGCTTGCTGGAACTCTACACTTGACATGTTAGTTGTGTTCAGCAGGGTCTGTTGGATCCAGTATATGTTACAGTCACAATATACAGGGTTGTTATAGAAACTGATCAGCTTCAGACTTGGTAGGTTGCCTAGCAACTCCACAGGTAGAGACAGCAATGCATTATTGTGTACATAAAGTCGCGTAAGCTTTGGGAGTTTGACAAATGCCTGTGGGTCTATATGCATTAGTTTAGGGTTATCATGTAACTGTAGATTGATCAATTCAACCATATTGATGAACACTTTTGCGTCTATATATTCCAGATTTGGCATATTGTTAACATTCAGTTCCTTCACCATGACGCGATCAAAGTCACCCATCTTAAGGTGCGTGATGGGGTTATTGTCCAGAGTGAGGATGACCATCTTATGGAACCTAGTGAAGGAGATGTATGGCACAGTTTCCATATTGTTGTCACTCAAATCCAGGAACTCGAGAGTCTCTAGGCCTTGGAAAGCCCTTCTGCTTATGCTCTCCACATTGTTGCTTGCTAGATTCAGTTTTTGTAAGCGCTGTGTCTTATTAAAGTCCCCATCATTTAGATTAATGAGGAAATTGCCACTGATATCAAGTTCCTGGAGATGTGAAAGTCCGAAGAACCAGGACCGATTTATTGTCTGCAAATTATTATTCTTTAGTGAAAGTTTATGCAGGTTGTTCAGTCCTCCAAATGCATGGTCACCAATCTCTGATATATTGTTATTTGAAATGTCAAGCACTTCTAGGTTAAGCAATCCACTGAATCCTCCATGGTTTAACTTAGAGATAGCATTGTGCCCCAGGTTTAACCACCTCAGTAACTCAATCTTCTCAAATATTGGATGCTGCCCCATTTTGTTGATTGTATTGTTTGATAGATCAATCATTAGGAGTTTACGTAATTGGGGCAGATCCCGATTTATCGTTGTAAAAAGATTGCCTGATAATAACAACACTTGTGTGTCCTCTGGAATATCATCAGGAAGTTTAGTCAGTTCTTTCCCCTCGCAGTCCAAAGTTTTTAATAATTTTTTCCCGATGTAAGGAGACTTTTTCAAGTCACATAAACATTGATCTGGGCATACTGTGTCCCAGCTTGCAGCATCTATAGGGACCAACAGTTGTAATATTGTCGTCAATATGAGACATCTTAGCATGATTGTTACCATCGTTGTTGTCATCATCACTATAGTAAGCATTTTAATATTTTCGTGATCTTTCAAATAATCCTTTTACTACTCCATTGAAAGTGAAGCTGCGTTGGAATTAGCATTTGGAGCATGTATTATAGATCCACATGAAGCGTAGAATGTCAAAGTAACAGCTAAGAGATTATTCCGGTTGGTTACACATTAACTTCCACTCTTGACATTTATTACATCCCAGATGATAAAACGTCATATTTCACCAATATTTTTACATATTTTGCTAGGCTACGTTTTCCACAGAGATTGATTTTTGAGTTTATTTGGACTTTGTATCCAATATCCCAGTCAGCCTTATGTGGTGTAATACTCGGCTGATGTGTTTCATTTAATGATGCCAATATCAAGTTCCTGTTCGACCAATCAAATCAATATTTGAATTTAATGACTGTATAAGTGTAGTTCAGTGAATATTGGGTATATTTCCAAGTGTGCTTACTGTCTCAATGATGTCATTAACAAACTGAAGTGGAATCGTAAGAGATGTCCTCTTCAAAAAGTTGTAATCCTCTTTAACGTAAAAGCCAGCAGTGAAATCATCACATGTAATCCAATAATACTTCTGATTGAGTTACACTAGAAAACGTTAGCTTTAATTTCCCCGAGGCAACAGTGGTACTAATCCTAGCCAGGACTGGCCGATTATAAAGTTACGCGTCACACTAATGTTCTGCACACATCATCAATCCTTGCGGTGTCAGAAACAAAATGTTCATTGTTGTTTTATGTGAATCCAAAATCAATAAATTAATGTTCTGGAGAATAAATTGGGAAAATAACTTAAGTGCTGTACTTCTATGTCTTGTTCTATTATCATGTTCTAATACCACGGAGACGTCAGTTTAATCCTATTGTGATACTGCCTAATGCAGACTTATTTTATACAGAGTCTATTTATTGAATGAGTTGTCACATCTATTGTATATCTTTGCTCAGAATACCACTTGTAAATGTCAACTCCTGGGACCTAAATCAACTGCAATCGTTTGGGACTTTGACCAATTGTGATCTTCTAGTTTCGCAATTTTCTCAACTCTTGGTAGGACATTTTCGTCAAGGGCTACATTGATGTTTAGGTTACGCAAATGTTTCATTCATTAGCATTCTTGACGAGCCTGCAATTAACTATTGGATGTCAGTATACAACTGAATGTAGCACCAAATCTCTGGTGAATTTCTCGTATTGCGTGATCTATTAGTAGAATGTCATGTTCATTTGCAATGTGCCTAGATGAAGTTAACTCTCACTGTTGAATCTCCCAGTTAAAACAGCATCTGAAAGTAAAAAATAAATACATTGTAACTTGATTAGGTAAATTAACAAATTATAGCCAAATTAACCTTATATAATAAACACATGTATCTTTTATATTTGCAATTTAACCATTATTCGGGGTAAAAGATTTATTCTAATGTGTTTTGTACTGTAGTTGTGTTGACATAAGGAAGAATAAAAACATGAAAAACAATTCCTACATTGTCGGGTATCCGATTAAAGTGAAACTCAATACAGTTGTTGTATGGCTTAGTCTTTATCATTGGAATCTTTTAAACAGTAACAAGTTTCAAGACAAATATCACCTTTGGGGGCTTTATTATGACATTTTCTTTTATTTATAGGATATTATTGATTAAGGAAGAATATAAAACTATGAATTATTATTGAATTATTATTATTAATTACAATGTGTCAATTTAAGATATGAAAAATATCTCATGTAACCATGAGGCAAACAAATAAATATTGAATTGAAAAATGGTCAAATTATGGAATAGAATTCAACAAAAACAAAACACAATATGAAACAGTTAATTGTAGATTTTGAGATTATCCAAAGATTAAAACATTTAATGAAATTTTATATTAAAATGTGTCAGTTTCATGAATGCAGAAGAAGCAGGGAGGTATGAAGTAATTGTGCATATTATTTTAAGTTCTTGAGTGCTAATATATATGAATAAGGATAAATAAAAATATGTTTAATAGAATTACATGGACATGATGAGTCTAGATTTCCCTGGCCGGAGTACAATTGTAATATAAATGTCAAATAATAAATAAAAGTATGTATAAACAAAGCAAAGTATAACAAAGAAATCATAGTGTAACATAGAAGTCATGGAAAAACAGAGATAAGTCATGAAATAACAGAAAGTCATCTTATAACAGAAAAGTCATTGAATAACAGAGAAATCATTGAATAACATAGAAGTCATTGGATGACAGATAACACTTAGAATAACATGGAAGTCATAGGATAACAAAAAAACATGTAATGACAGATAAGTCTTGGAATAACAGAGAAGTCATAGAATAATATGGAAGTAATAGAATAACAAAAAAGCCTTGTAGTGACAGATAAGTCATGGAATAACAGAGAAATTAAGGGATAACAGATAAGTCATGGAATAACAAAGAAGTCATAGCATAACATGGAAGTCAGTTATCCAGTGACTCCTATAGTGATGAAGAAGGTTAAGGCATGGGTAAAATACAAAGTAGCTCCAATAGGTTTTAAAATGAGTCCTTTGTATGCTATTAACAGTTCCAAACTTCTAAAACATCCCCAGATGACTATAAATTCACAGTATTAATGTGTGAGAGCACCTAAAGAGGTATTTGGGGGTTTACTGAGTCAACTATTCAACATTAGTTTAATATAGATGGTATTGGAGAAATTCCCTAGGGGGTCATAAGAACAATTTGGAGTAAATTCCTTTTCAAATACCAATGCATTGAAGAAGTAAAAGTGCATTGAAGAAGTAAAAGTGCATTGAAGAAGTAAAAGTGCATTGAAGAAATATCAGTACATTGAAGAAATGTCAGTGCAGTGAGGAAATGTTAATGGATTGAGAAAATAACTGCATAGAGGAAATGTTAATGCATTGAGAAATTAACTGCATAGAGGAAATATAAGTGCATTGAAAAAATATCAGTGCATTGAAGAAAGTTCAGTGCAATGAGAAAATAACTGTGAATTTAGGAAATGCCAAGGTATTAATAACTTCATTGAAGAAAATGTGGAGGAAATATCATTGCATTAATGATATATGTTATTCTACAGAAAGTATGCTTTATTGACTAAACCAGTGATAAGGTTATTTTATGAATTAAGAAGATATCTTGAAAATAATGTTTTTCAATTGTTAATAAAGACTAAACAAACACAAGAAAATAGCATTTTAATTAAACAATTGATGAATTAGTTTCTAAGTCTATAAAAAGATTTAATCCAAACAGATTAGCATCCGTCTAGACCTCTGGATCATATCGAACATAGCGTCCATTAGTCGCCACATCAGGGCAAACTAACCTGCAATTGTCGTGTTTCCCAAGAATAACTAATAAATAATTCAACTGCTGAAATAGATTATATTTTTTGTGTTCTTATATCCTGATGGTTTTGTTTCCCAAATATCACTAGCAAATTAGTAATACATTTCACCAATGGTGTTATCCTGGGGTGTTATTCTGTTTGCTATGCTAGCAACATCCTTGGTCCAAGGGTATTTCACTTCTTTCCATATTCTGAATTGAGTAATAAATTAAATCCTTTGAATGAAAGATGTGCAAGGAAAAGACTGGATAGATTCATGTAGAAATTATCTTGATTTACGTCATTAAATATTCAAAATTATGTCAAATTGATATCAAATTTGAATGTACAGGTAAAATTGGATGAAAAATGTGGTTTAAAAAAAAACTTTGAAAGTTAGTTTAAGTTTAGTTAAGTTTAAGTTTGGGTACATTCCCCTTTGTTATAAAAACACATAAAGTGAAATATCTATACATGTATGAGAAAAATGATATTTTCTTTTACTGGACATATTTTCATATACTTGTACCAGCTTCATCTAAATTTTGCTTTAACTTTTAATAACAGTCTCAATAGAATACCGCTATTACAAATTTTTATGAATCATTAAGCATTGTTAAGTAGAGTAGTTCTCCAATGTAGGAATGTGATTCTATCACCCCTCCCCAGCAACTCTTTAATTGATTTCAGTATCAGAGCAACTGATTCGAAAGACCAAGAAATCCAAAGTTTCGATCTTCCAACATTGATATTCATTGTATAGTATGTAAAGTTAGTTAAGAATAAAAAACATGCTTTTAATCTAATGGTACCATCTATCATCATCAACAACTCAACTTCAGTTATATCATTATACATCTCTCTTTTGTGGTGTTAACATATTCTATTGAAAACTTAGTTCTATGGTTGTCAGTTGTACATTTGGAAATGATAGGATGCAATGTATTCGTATTCTCAACAGACCTACAGTATGTATGGCTGTTAAACTTAATTTAGGGGAGGGGGAAATAATAAGTCTCATTAGTGAAGCATATTGGATTTTTGAAAAAATGGCATTTAATCAAAATTTTTGAATTTTTGAATTTTTTCACCATCACAAATGTTTGGCAGTTGGTGTTCGGTGGTCAGTGTTCAGTGTCTGTAACAAATGGCAGGTGGTGATATTATGCATGTTGATGCTTTGTTATATATGGGGGAGGGGCGAGGTTCCATATGATCGAAGTAACTTTGTTTATCCAAAACTGTTAACACGTGGGCACCATCCTTTTTACGTCTTCGCAATCTCACTGATTTTATACGATATGATTCATAGACCTACAGGGTGAAACTCCATTTCACAATTAAACTTCTGAAATTGGATTTCCCCATTAGAGTTTCTTTGATCTTGGGATTCATGTTTTTCTCTATCAATACAATTGTTGGCTTAGACATAATCCTGAAATGAGATTTATTTTTCAATTGCCTTCTATAGATTGAAGTGGGCTGAAGTGTCAATTCAAAGATATACAACATAATTAGATTCCATATATCATAATCGTCCTCTCTAAAACACAACTCACTTATCCTCTCCTGCCAATAACTTATTTCAGTACTTCTAATATGTTATGTCACTAAGCTGGCATCTCCATCATTCTCCAGGACACACATGGGGCAACATTAGGAAAAAAGGAGAGCAACCATCAAACAATACAAACTGAAAATCTATACATTTTGATCCGTCAAGGTATTAATATGACTGAAGGAATATGCTGATTAAACAGTATGAAATCCATAAACTTGGTACATGAATGCATGAATAAGCATAAGAATACCCTACTCTGATTTATCAGAACCCAGGTCTGTAGCCAGGGAGGGTTCGGGAGATCAAGCACCCCCCCCCCCCACCCTTGCCAAAAATGCTTTTAAAAAATAGTTTTTCACCATTCTGAGCATTTCTTGGGCCAAAAATGTCAAAAGTGAACTCCCCCTAGAATTTTTTAAAAAGTGAACTCCATCTTGGCAAATCCTGGCAAAGGGCCTGGAACCCCTCTTAAATGTTTGAGAGGGATGCCAATGGTACATGATATGGATCCCACAATGGAATACCTATTAGAAACTTAGCTTTGCATGACATTAGTAATTATCATTATGTTTATAGTCTATTATATATAGGCAGTTCTATTAGGTGTTACTACAACATTAGCAAGTGTTCCATTTATGCCTCTATTATGTGAAACTTGGCACCAGAACAAAGGTACAATGACATGTTAATATATAGTACAATACCAAGGATCAAGAGGTCACAAAAGTAATTTCAGAAAAAAGCATCGATATTTTTCAAAAAAATAATTATACATCTTTATCGTGATCATGGGCTTTCATACAAGCCTGAGATATAACATACTAAATGATAATAGGAACTTTTTTTAAATAATTCATAGCTATTCTAGCCAGATAATACCAAAAATTTGTAAAATTGGATGCACTATGCCTTATTTTCATCCAATCAGATCGTGAGACGCATGTACAATAACCGTGGAGAAATTGAGTGGGAATTTTACATTCATAACCTGGTATATATGATCAGCTATAGTAGAGCTTTCCACTATCTGAGTACAATACATATAGCAGAATAATGATAACTGCCAGGTATAATATTTGTAGTTGTTTTGACATAAAATATTACTATGCAATTGTAGTACAAGTTTGTTAAGCTTGAAAAATGGTGTTCCTGCCTTGCTGCAATATCTTTATATGCAGTTACATAACCCCATCTTGGAATTGTTTACTCTTTGAGAAAATGTTATTATTCATCATGCCTAGCAATTACATAATTAATAGATAAAAGGAATCTACATCCTCTGATCCAAGATACAGAATATATATTCTTCTTCTGCAGTATACTGTAAATTGCTTTAATTTGACGATCGTTTTAATTT